AGTGCTATGCTCACCAAATCCAATTTCATATTCCTTCTTCTTAATGACATGGAAAGCTCCATTTTTCAGACCCTTTGAGGCTAACAAGGGTATATGATTAGTTTCAGTCAGTGAAATGGGGGATGAAGTGATGGGTTTGAATAAATCAGAGAAAAGCCCTTTAGAGACTCTCTGGCCACACTTCCCTGCCTCAATGAATAAGGAAGTTCCAGACAAAACCTCTAATGCTCCTCTCTTCCCCTATACTCATTGAACACATAGTATTGTTGAGAAATAAACCTTTGTTGTGGTACAATGCTAAGGTTTCAGGATTAATTTGATACTCTAACATAACCTAGCTTACATTGACTAATACAGAAGCCAAGGTAGGAGCTTAATTTGCAAAGGAGAGAGTAGGCACAACAGTTTCAAATGCATCAGAGTTCCAGGAAAGAGGCCTTTCCATAGATTCCTAGATGTGGAATTATTAAGCCAGTAAGTCCAGACTTTAGGGGGTTTTGATTATAACAGTTTGACAGAGAATCTCCATTGTCTTTTGGCTTTCTCTAACAAATGTGCTCATCAGATCAATAAAATGTAGTTAACTTCAACTGGAAATTGACATCCAGCACATACACACATTACAGTCTATTATTCTTATAGTTTCGCTTGAAAGCTTGAGGTGATGATATAAATTCTGATTGAATTATCTTTGTCTTAGTTCTCCATTTATATTTTGCAAAAAGAGTGGTCTTAATATTTTCCCCTTAGTATAAGAGACCCCAAATTATAAACAATTTTTATCCTATATATTTAGTTATAAAGTTGATTGTTTAGAGTGCTGGGTGCCCTTTCCCAAGTGGAAAGAATGATAAAGGATGATTAGTTTCTAGGCCAGGTCCCACAGCCTATTTAACCTACAATGCAGCCGGACTAGAAATATGTATTTTTCCAGGACATAATTATGACTTATGTTATGGATTCTAACCAATGAGAAGCAAACTAGATGTCATTTTATGAACTTATTTACAAAACAGAAACAGACTCACAGACAGCAAACAAACTTATGGTTACCACGGGTAAAAGGGGAATTAGAGGGATAAATTGGCTGTTCGGGATTTGTAGATACTAACTACTATAGATAAAGTAGATAAACAAGGTCCTATTGTATAGCACAGGGAACTATATTCAATGCCTTGTAATAGCCTATAGTAAAAAAGAATATGAAAAGGAATATATATATATATATAAAACTGAATCACTATGCTGTACACCAGAAATTAACACATTTTAAACTGACTATACTTCAATAAAAATGATAAATAAATAAACGTCATCTTACACAACGCACAACCATAGAGTCAGCCATGAAGCTGTGCCAGATATATATGCATTGTATTTGCAAAAGCAGAATGCCAAGTTCCAAGGGTACACTGATGTAAAATAAAGGAAGTCCACATAGACATAGAATACAAACTTGTGGTTGCCAAGGGGGCAGGGGGTGGGAAGGAACAGACTGGGAGTTCAAAATTTGTAGATACTGACAGGCATATGCAGAATAGATAAACAAGATTATACTGTATAGCACAGGGTAATAGATACAAGATCTTGTGGTAGCTCACAGGGAAAAAAATATGACAGTGAATATATATGTATGTTCATGTATAACTGAAAAATTGTGCTCTACACTGGAATTTGACACAACATTGTAAACTGACCATAACTCAATAAAAAAAAGTTAAAAAATAATAAAAATAAAATAAAGGAAGTCCAACTGGCCCAAATGCACATACCTAATCATAAATTCTAAATATTTGTATGAATAAAAATGAAATTTCTTATGAAGCGAATAATTATGACATAAAATGTTCCAGCTTAGAAAATTAAGTTAAAAATCACTTACAATCTACAAAATATATATGAAAACAGTGTTTTGATTATGCAGCATTTCCAATGTATTCCAGTCCTTCTTCCATATATGACTCTTCAAAAGTGATCATGAGAATATCTTTTTTTCTCAGATTTATAAAAATTACATTAAGAGGGATCCTTGGATGCTAAACAATCCTTAAATCTTACTTAGTCCAAGATGTGGTCAAAGCTGAGTTCCTTAGGTCTTCACCACTTAGCTATTCACTAATGACAAAAAAATAAACTCTCTCTGTTGAATCACCTCATGTATCCTACACAAATAGGGAATGAAGGCTAAGAAATTTTTCTGATAACCTTGGCTACTATTTAAACATTAATACTTTGTATTGACTTCATGAAGATTAGTGGAAATCCTCCTATAGTGTCTTAGGGACTATATATGTGACAGATTCCCTCTCAGAAGGTTGTCATTTCTACATTTTAGTTTTTAAGTGTTAAGGTTATCTATAGGGCCCATATTCTTGCTGTATTAAATGTCAGTTAATTCCTCAACATGCAAAATAAAAATTCAGCAAGATGCTTTGATAATAAAATATTAATTAACAAATACATGATGCTTATGAATTCATAGGCACTGCTCTGAATGCCTTACATTTAATTCTCAAAATAATCTTATAGCTAAACTTATTATCATCCCTATTTTACAGATAAGAAAAAAGGCACAAGGAGGTTATTTACCTACAATCACACAATTAGTAAATGGTAGATCTGGGATTCAAAGACCAGGTATCTGGTTCCAGAATCTCATGCTCCTACGTACTGCATATGCCCTTCTAAATGGTGGGAGATAAACATGCCCCAGAACTATGTTGAAAGCTATGAACTATCAGGAACTTATCCTCTGATAGAAATTTTCTCTCAGTTAATCTGCTGTCTTGAGAGAGAATAGTCTATAGGTAATTTTCTTCCTCATTTTTGTAGGTGAAATAATAATACGTCATTTCACTCCTTTTGTAAATTACTTGCTTATTTTTCCCATTTCAAAGGCTTCCCTAACATCTGTAATTGGAATTTCCCATGCCTTTTAAGGTTTATTTTTAACCTTTAAAAATATTTTTACGACTGATATGTGGACTCCCTGTGGAAGACAAAGAACATAAAAAATTAAAATATGAATTGCTTGCAACCCTTAATGTACTTACTAGTACACTTCTGCTGCCTACTGAAGACCCGCAAAACTCAGCATCTTAACACAACCACCATTTGTTCTCACAGTTCTACAGGTTGGCTGAGGAGGTTCTGCTTCATGCTATAGGTTGGCTAGGACCAGAAGGCTGCCTGGGACTTTTTCTAATGGTGATGGCATTTTTAAAAAGTCAGGTGGGTCTTATAAGCGCTGTCACAGAAAGCTCCTGAATTCACATTCATTAAGTAACAGGAGCAAGTCATGGTACAGTATGTACATTGTTGCCAGTGTGTTTTAAAAATAATGTATTTTTGTAGCACATCTATGTATGAAAAAGCCTCGAATCAGCTTTAAAATGACACACACCAGGTTGTTCACTGTGGTTATTGTTGAAAAGAGAGCTGCATTTTGGAGGAATATTATATGGAGGCGGGGAGGGGGGGATTGTGATTTATCTGTGTTAGAACTTTTTACAACAAGAATATATACACCACTATTAGCTTTGTGATTAAAATATTTAAATGAGCCTAACGATAGAAACAGTAGTTGCATATCACTCAGATAAGGTAACTGCTAACTGATGCAACCGAGAATACCTGAAATGTGAATGGCTCAACATGACAGAAGTTTACTTCTTGTGTACATAAAGTCCGATGGGGGATGGCAGAGGCTCACTGCTATCAAGTGACTCAGAGATTCGGGCTGTTTGCATCAAGTGACTCCACACCTTAACATGGACACTTCATGTTTGCCACTGAAAGAAGAGAAAGCACGGAGGTGGCATACTGGCTCTCATGTACCTTGTTTTAGAGGTGACAAACATACTTCTACTGATATATCAGTGGCAGGGGTGAGTCACATGACCCCTCCTAACTGTAAGTGGACTAGGAATGGAGTCTCCCCAGGAGCCCGGGAAGAGAGAAAGACAGGATGTGGATGAACATTTGCAGTCTCGCCCATAAACTGTTACACAGTATGTGCTGAATAAAGAGCAACTATAGCAACTGGTTATGACAACAACCCTCTCAGTTTCTTAGAGGAGCTTCTGAGGTCAAATTTACCTGGAAATTCACCACTTTGTTCTTGTGCAAACTGCCACTTAGTAAGTAAACCTAAGTAAATTTTCCTGTTAGAGAATATGTTATTTAATTTGGAGGCAGGGATTTCACCGGGATGCAACCCAAACCTTGTAGAATTTGTGTCAAGGAACAATAATTTCCCTCCCTTCCAAACGCCCTCCCAACAAAAACACTCTGATTTTCATTCATTTCACCACCGTCACAATCTAGCCCCACTTAGGAGTTATGTCAAATTCCACTTAAGATAACCTAATTAATGGAGTGGGCTCGGGTTCCCCCAGCTCAGGGCAAAGAATATTCACACAGCGGCTTCTTGGCATCACACTGCAAGGGAGAACTATCTCCCTGGAGACAGTATGCATAAAACACCTAGTTTGGGCACTTTGTTCACCAGTAATGGGCAAGAGCACTGGACACTTTCTATTCTTTCCCCAGGTAGAGAATCTTTCTGGTTAACCCATGATCCCAAAGTAACTGTTAAGGGCGTGTCTCATTCCAGGCTTAGTCTCTCAACTCTGAGGCCCACCCTCGCCATGATCACAGCCCCATCTAGCCCACTACACAGTGAACTTAAAATTACCTCCCAAGGAGGGATTTGCAAAAATCCTAAACCCCAAAGCATCCTGGCTAAGAGAATTTACACTTCACTGCTCTCATCACCTCTCCACAACCACCCTCACTGCTTTTTTTCATTTCTCCTTTATATGTGAGAGTTCATCACATCATTTTCCTTATATAATAACTGCTTTTATACTCTAAACATCTACAAGCAGGTGCAGGGTCTTTATCTTTGCTTCACTACCACTGGCACAGAACCTTCCAAAGAGCAAATGCTCAATTAATGATGGGAATAAATGAGGCACGGAGCAAGGAATGCAATTTATTACTACTTAATTTTATCTGCATTCTTGAGTAAGTTAAGGACATCCAAGTGTGTATCTTTGAATTTTCCAAAGAGAAATGCAAAGATGAATAAGACAAATCACAATTTGACTATATTGTACTTTGTTTTCATCTATTTTAAAACCATAGCTATATTTTGCAGCCTTCTTTCACATTTCCAAGAAAATTCCCACCCCAAAGCCATATCAATCTTGTTCTGAAACCCAAAAAGATGCAAGGACTGTACTACACAATACCAAAACTCTTAAACCTGATAAACAACAACAAATGTATGATCCATGTCATTTATAAACTTGGACTCTGAACCTAAATAAACATTCTATTCAAAGAAACATTTGAAAGATATCAGGTATAACAGGAACGCAAAAAGATTTATATCAACTTAGCCTCTCACTACTTGAAAGCTTGGCAGCGTTTATCAAAAATGAAGTGAAAAATCTGCTCAGACGTCACTAGGGGCGGGAGGAACTGCTGGACGTGACTTGACCTTGGAACGTGCAGCAGCTTTGGCAGCAGCACGAGCCCTGGCAGCGGCTCTGGCTTGGGCTCTCTCTTCCTCATCTTTCAAAGCTTCTTCATAATGGGTTGGGAAGGCAGTGGGGACCGTATCATTGACCTTGGCCAAAAACTCCAGGACTTTCATCTTGCTGGTTTCAGCGCGGGCTTTTGGGCCCCACAGGAACTCATAGCGAGGAGGATTACTGTTGCGCATCTGACGATACACTAGGTACTTTTCCTTCACCAAATCTTCTGTGATAAGCTTCCTGGGCTCCCCAAAGATTAAATGCTGCTTCCCATCATAGATGCCCAAAATATTCAGGAATTCCCAGGTCTCCTCCTCAGTGGCACGGTTGCCATTCAAGAAGATCATACCCAGGAGAGGCATCAGAAGCCCGTTTTTAGGAAGTCCACAGCCGCCACTGAGACTTCCATCATCGGTGAGATCTAGCTTGCTGACAAGGGTATAGGAGTGACCACTGGGCTTGACTTCCTTCAAGTCAAGGCCAAAGACCAGCTCCAGGCGCTCAGTGGCTCTCCTAAGGATCTCAGGGAAGCGCCCTTTATACTTTTTGTTGACAAGCTTCAGCATGTCTGCCTTCATAATGGGCTCTTTCATGTTATACTTCTCTAGCAGGAATTGCATCAACATTCCTACCTTCCCGGTTAGAGGATCTTCGTGAGAGCTCTCCTTGGAGGTTGAGGCCTGGGAGGAATTTTTACTTTTCTTAACTTGGCCCTTGGCACCTACAGCAGATCTTGGGCGTGAAGCCCCTGCATCAGGAGAGCTAGTGGCGAGGGCTCCCTGAGGCTTCTGGCGAGTGCCAGCAGTAGGAGAGCCCGGGGGAGTGCCCCCAGAAACAGGAGTGGGGGAGGCTGGGGCCTCTTCTATCTTTCCTGCAGTGGCCTGAGCACCCTCAAGACCCTGGGTCTCACTCCGGGCCTGGCGGCGTTTCTCACGCGCACGGAGCTTACTCTTCTGACCCCGAGGCATGACTATGGTCAGGGAGAGCAGGCAGGAGTGTGGGCAGGATAGTAGGAGATGCTGGATCCTGGAGGAGGGAAGATGAGAGCGTGTGAGCACCTTCAGCAGCAAGATACCACCTGGCTTTTAAGAAGCCACTTCTGCAGGTTTTCTTTAGGGTGCTACTCTAAAATGCCACTGGACTCTTGCTCTTGGTCGCTCATTCCCTGGGAATCCAGTGTAAGAAGTTAGTGAGAGTGAGCCTTAGGCTACAGCCTGCCTGTTCTGCTTGTGGCTGACTGGAGTGACCACAGGGCCTGACAGTGGAGGGGGGGCCTCAAGGGTGCCCTTGGTTCACAAACAGGATTATGACATCAACTGTTGGTAGGGCCAGGACCTCTTTCCTGTGCTGCTCTTAAGTTGATACCTCAAAGCTCACTGGGGCCCTTGAGAAGGAACTGAATCATGGGCACTGTCAGGGTTGACAGTGCTGACAGATGTGTGGGACCCTCTGTCCCAGACTCATTGGTCCTCAATCATTCAGTCCTCATCTTGTCTACACCTAGAGTCCAGGACCCCCCCCTTCTGCTGACTGGCACTGCACCTTCAGATGAAGATCTCATCTCCCTTAGAACTGATAAAAAGAGATGAGGGGCCTCAGCCTGACAACCATCCTCCAGGCCTTCAAGGGCTGAATGTAGGACTGGCAAGACTCTGTATTGTTCCTTCTATTTGGTGGGAGAGGGGGGTGGTATCTTCAAGTGTCATTCACAGTCCTCACTTTGATTCCTGGGAGGATCTGGGGGCTCCTTTCTCTCTTTACTTGAGGACTTTCCCTCACAGTATGGCCCACAACTCCCTGAGACCCGGTGGTGGAAGTGAGGGTGGCCTTACATGGCCACACTGCCCACGTCTCCAGAGGCTGAGAGCTGCAGCAAGCAGGCTGAAGCCTTACGATGTGTGGCTATGCCTGCTAGCACTCTCTGATCCCACTGTTCAGCAATCATTGGCTCCCTCAGTCCTCATACAAGCCTTTGACCTCCAGTCTGGTTAGGATTTGGGATTCCTCCTTCTACTGACCTGAGTCTACAAGCCTCAGACCAAAGCTCTCACCTCCCTGAGTAGTTAGAAGTCAGGGGCTCCACATCTGGCTAACTTGCTTGGGGACTCCCAGATGTAAGAGGAGGGCTGCTGCTCTGTGCAGCTCCCTGTTTTGAGGAGAGGTCTGCTTATTAGCACTGATGGTCCTGCGCTTACCCTTTTAGGGCCAAGACTCCTCCCTCTACCTAATACAGTTGACTTATCTATCTATCCATCCATCCATCTATTTACATTAAATATCCACTACTCATTTATTTTGCAGATAGTAGTTTGTACCTCCTAATCCTCCTCACATACTTCTCTCCTCCACCCACCTTCCTTGTCTCTGGTAACCGCCTTTGTTCTCTGTATCTATAACTGTTTCAGTTGTTTGTTCGTTTGTTTTGTTTTTCAGATTCCACATATAAGTGGAATCATAGAGTATATGTTTTTCTCTAAATTATTTCACTTAGCGTAACAGCCGCTAGGTCCATGCCCCCTTTAGATAAAAGCCTTTCTCTATTTGATTGCCCCCCCCCACCTCCCACTCCAAGCAAACACATGGGGTTCTCTTGTTCTGAATTACTCTAGGGTATTACAGGACTGATGGCAGGAAAGGGGGGGGTGCTCTGTGCAGTCATCTCTTTTGGACGTCACCTCGTTAGCTTTTCACCTGTTACGGACAAGACTACTTCCTCTGCCTAAAGAGGCTGACCCCTTTAGACAAAGGCCCTCCCCTCCCTGAGGCCTTCAGACGGCAACCACCACAGGACTTCTCCGCCTTACAGCTCAGGCCTGGGCCTCACACTGCCTCTCGCAGGGGCGCAATGTGGGTGGGTCACCTCTGTTACCGGAGGGTGGGGGGAGGGAAGGAAAGTCCCTTTAGGCCACATTCAGACCCTCACCTTGGCTCCGAAGGAGTCCTTGGAAACCGCCCTGGGCCGAACAACGCTGCGTCTGCCGGTTCAGCGCCTCGCCTCAGAAGCGGAAGTCGGAGGGCAGCCGCATCCGGCCAAGCGTCCTTTGCGGGGTCTCCCAGGGCTGACGGCAGGGGCAGCGCGCCGCGGGACCAGTGGGCGGTCCCCCAGGCTCCTCCCTCAGGGTCCTGCCCCAGGGTCCTCCGTGCCCTCCAGCCCGCGTACAAAGGCTTCACCTCCGGAGTCCCTAGTGGGGAAGTCACGGCCTGCTGCTTGTGACCCCCTCTGCCTGACAAGAGGGGTGCGACCCTGTGAGCCTCCGTCTTTGGGGGAGAGCGCCTCTCACTAGCACTTAGGTCCCCACCTTGACGCTGGTTAAGGCCAAGACTCCTCCCTCTTTAGAACTGGGGTCTATCTGATCCTATTAGATGAGACGCTTTCCTCCCTGAGACCACACTGGTAGACTCAGGGGACGACTCTGTGGTAGCTCTTCTGGGTCAGCCAGGGCTAAGAAAAGTACAGAACTCTGGCCCCCTCTGCTTTTGGGGAGGGGGTCCCCTCAAAACACTCAGGATCTTTACACGAATTCTTGTGAGGGCCCAGGTCCCTCCCTCTGCAAAAGTGAGGCTGTGCCTATTAGACATGGGTCTTCACCTCGCTGAGACTTTCCAGAGTGAAATCAACCTGATATCTCTGCCCAGGGCTTCCTGGGGACGACAGCATCGGAGATTTTCCAGGGCCTCCTTTTATGCCATGCATGCTATACTTAGTCCACATTCAGGTCCTCTTCTTGACAGATAACCAATCCTGTAACTCCACCTTCTGCTTTCCTGAAGCTCCTCCACTTACATCAAGGTCCTACTCCCCTGAAAATTCCAAGTTGGAAGTCAGGGTGCTCCTCATAATATCATACGCCTTCAGGGCCTCCAAGAACAGTCATCAGGGATGCAATTCTAAGGGAACTCACTGTTTTGGCTGAGTCCTTCCATGATTCCTCACTCACTGTTTTCACTATGTCTAACAAAGCCTGGAATTCCTCCTTCTACTGAACTAAAGTCACTACCCTTAGTCTTTGGATCACTCCTATACTGAGGAGTGATTGTCTCCTCAGCCCTCATTCATGGGGTTCTTCATAGCGGTTTCTATCTCTTGATTAAAGGCTTCCTGGGAAATACATATTCCCGCAAACATCTGACCAGTTACCCTATTGCAAATCTTGCAGAAAATGGGTCTCTGTCCCAAAGGTGATGTAAGATTAGGGAAATGTAGCATAAATCTAGGAACCCAGGACAGATGTTATGCTGTCAGAAAAAAAAAGCTGATATATTCCTTCTCTTCACCAGCCAGCCTTAGAGTAGTTCTAAAACATTTACTTTCTACACAGTAGAATAGATCCAGGTAATTTTGTAAGCCCCTGATCTGTTGAGGGTATCTGATTTTTCATTTGTAGATGATCATATTGTCACTGAGCATTGTTTCTTTCTCTTCTTTATTCATATCTCTTATTTATTTTGGTATTCGTATTGCTTTGAGTATGTATTCCAAGCCAATGTTTTGGTCACAGAATCCTTTTTATCACTTGAGATACATTGTGAAGTGGTAGAAGAAAGTGAATTAATTGACTCATGGTCAGCCTCAGGCTGGGAGGAGTGGTACGGTGTGAGCTCTGGACAAATTCAGACCAGGGGTCTATTCCAAGCTCTGTCAGTTATTAGCTGTGTGAGCTCGGGTCTATCTTTTAGGGCTAGTGGCACGCAGTTAATGTATGTAAAGCCCTTGGCGCAGTACCTGGACTGCATTGAGACTTTACACAATGTCTGTTTTTACTGTGATTATGATTATTTTGACCCCAGAGGATACTACCCACCCCGATGGAATTTTTAAATCCAGGAAGTATCAGAGAATATGTGGCAGTCTAGAACACGGAACACCAAATCAGCCCAAAATGCTGTTTACAGAGAATTTCTAAGTAAATCCCCCCATTAAATCATATTTTGAGTGTGGGGGTGGTTTTCCAGCTGAATGAAATATAAATCTTCTAGAATTTGGTTCCAAGACTAACTCTTCTTTCCTAGCTACCCTTTCAACTAAATCACCCCTATCTTTAATAATTTCATCATCACCCAAAACCTACACTTCTCTTAGACATCACAGAATTACAACCAAAAAACTGCATTTGAATGCCCCTTTAATAGAATGGGCTCTGATTCCTTGGCCTATAGCAAAGAGCGTCAGCCCAATGGCTTCCGAGTTTCCGATTTCAGAGTACTATCATCTTTATTCTTAGAAACTCCCTAGAGATCATGTACATAAAACACTTAGGTTATGCACTGTTTTCACCTGCACTAGGACAGGAGCACAGGACATGTTTTATCCCTGCCCCAGGTGGAGATTCCTCTCTGGTTTGTTCATAATTCTAAAGTAACTGTTAAGGGTTGTTGTCCATTCCAGGCTTACGTCTCTTAACTCTGAGATCCACTATCTAGGGTCTGGCCCCTTTTCAGTGTTTCCACAGCCTCATTTAGCCCACCTGACAGCCTGACTTAAAACTACCTCCCATTGCAGGACTTTTATTTTCTTAAGGTCTCAAAATGCCTTGCTACAAGGCATTTATACTAAACTCCTCATGTGGAATCATTCACTTTCCCTTTCTTATCCCTTATTTTTACTGGGCCTTTAGATCTTAGCTCACCAGCTGCTTTACATGAGTGCTGCTCTTAGACTCTAAAATTCTATAGGCAGGGGTTGTGTCTATTTTTCTTAGCATCCCCAGTACCAGCCAGGAGCCTTCTGAAGAGGGGATGCTAAATTAATATTTGGATAATTAAAAAGCAAGTGTGCTAGAAGTCAAATTTATCATGATTTCATCTCTCCCACATTCTTAAATAAGCTAGGCCAATCCAGATACATATACTTCAATTTTACAAAGAAAGACTAAAAGGAATAAAACAAACCAAGAAGGGAGTACCTGTTAACATTGATTTCTGAATCTCATGCTCACACAGACTTTACTGTGGAATAATTTCCATTTTCACAAAAATCCATATTTCAATGTCATATTATCTTGTTCTAAATGACAAGAAGTGATTCAAGGATTTCCAGTTTGTTTACATAATACCAAAATTCTTATTTTTCAACCTGATAATCTCCAATAAACATGTGAGCCACATCATTTGTAAACTTAGATTGTGAAGCTAAATGAAGCTTTAATTGAGAGGAACATTTAAAAATAGAAAAAAGAAAAACCTCCAATTTGTACAGAAGCACAAGTATGTTACACAGTGTGTTCCCATGAGCCTCACCTTGGCCGCCCACTAGTTAGAAGACTGCTTTCTTTAAACACAACATGAAGTATCTGCCTCAGCCTTCACCAGGGGTGGGAGGAGCTTTGAGACACGCCCTGGAATGCACACTGGCCAGGGCAGTAGTATGAGCCACGCCCACATCTCTGGCTCAGGTTCTCTCTACCTCATCTTTCAGACCTCTTCTCAATGGGGCGGGAAGGCCCTGGAGTTGGTATCGTTGACCTTAGCCCAAAACTCACACATTATTCTATATATCTGTATCTGTATCTATTCTGGAAAGCACCCCTTACTAGTTCACAAAGATCATACTCATTCTTTTTTACAGCTACATACTATGGTACTCCATTGTGTGGATATACCATGGTCTTTTCAATCAATATACTCATGGACATTTATGTATTTTCATATTGTCGTAGGTGTGCCTTCACAGTAAATTTCTTAAAAAGTGGAATTATTGGCTCAAAGGTAAATGCGTATTTAGTTATGTTATAGATTGTCAAATTCTATAAGGTAACATTATGAGAATTTTTGCACCAATGTTCTTAAGCAATATCAGAATTAAGTAATATTCTTTAATGTAATAATAAATTAAGTAATTTTGTGCTATCTTTACTTGGTTTAAATATTAATGTTATACTTGCTTTGTAAAAAGCCTTTGCAAGTTTTATTTCATTTTCTATGCTCTGGAACAATTTATGTGACAAAAGTCATACATTTGCAATAGTAGAGTGAATAATGTAATCAACGCTCTGTGTACTCATTTGCCAACTTCAGCAATATCAACATATGCCAATCTTGTTTCATCCATACCCACCATCCCCCCAGAATATTCTGAAGTAAACATCTAGAAAAATACTTATCCTATTATATATCTTTAGAAGGTAAAGCTACTAACTACAAACATAACCACAATACTTTGGGTACACTGTGGTAGGCAGAATTCCAAAATGGCCTCCCAGATTCCTGGCTCCTGGAGTATACACACCTTCTTCCAGTTAAGTAATCGAACACTAATCAAGCTGCTGCTCTGAAGGCATTTTGTAGATGTAAACAATCATTTGTTTTCAAAACAGGGAGTCTATCCTCCGTGTGCCAGACCTAATCAGATGACTCTTTAAATGGGATGGGGCTTTTTCCTGGCAAGAGATATTCAGAGTGAGAGGAATTCAATGTAAGGGAAATTTTCCATTGCTGCTTTGAAGATGAAGGGGCTGCAAAGGAAGGACCTAAGAGTGACTTGAGAGCGACCCCCAGCCAAAAGCTAGCAAGAAAAATGGGCACTTAAGTCTTTCAAGTTCAAGTAACTTAATTCTGCCAAAACCTGCATGAAGTTGGAAGGAACTCCTGAGCTCCAGATGAGAACACAGCCAGCTACCTAATACCTTGATTGCAGTTTGTGAGATTTCTGACCTAGAGAACCAAGCTACTCCATGCCGGAACTTCTGACCTACAGAAGTGTGAGGTATCAAATGTTTGTTTGAAGCTGTTAGATTCGTGGTAATTTGCTATACAGGGATAGAAAACTAATACATACATTGAAAAGTTTTTATCTACAGATTCATTTATTTCTTATAATTAGATCTTTTAAAAATGTATACATTCATTTCACTTTTATTTTTAACTTCAAAGAATCCTAAACAGCATATTTTTTTTAGTGGAGGTACTGGGGATTGAACCCAGGACTTCATGCATGCTTTGCAAGCACTCTACCACTGAGTTATTACCCTGCCCACTAATTAGATCTTTTAAGATCTATTCTTTACCTGGAAAGGCTCTCCTTCAGATTTGATGGAGACATCAAAAGCTTCACAGACAAGCAAAAGCTAAAAGAGTTCAGCATCATCAAACCAGCTTTTCAAGAAATGTTAAAGGAAATTCTCTAAGCAAAAGAAAAAAGGGCACAACGGGGAACATGAAAATCACAAAAGGGAGAAGTTCATCAGTAAAGGAAAACACATGCAGTTAAGGGAAATAATTATATATAAAATATGATATCAAAAACAGTAATCATGAGGGGAGGAGAGTACAAATGCAGTGTTGTTAAAATGCATTTGAAATTAAGAGATTGGCAACTTAAAACAATCATATATACATATATGTGTGTGTACAAATATATGTGTGTGTGTGTATGTATGTGTATATATATATATATATATATCACAATCACCTCATGGTAACCACAAACCAAAAATCCATAATAGATACACACACAAAAAAGAAAAAGGAATCCAAACATACCACTAAAGATAGTCATCAAACCACAAGAGAACGAAAGAAGAAAAGAATGAAAAAACCTACAAAAACAACCCAAAACAATTAACAAACTGGCAATAAGAACATGTAAATAATTACTTCAAATGTAAATGGACTAAATTCTTCAATCAAAACATACAGAGTGGCTATCTATGACAAAGGATGCAAGAATATACAATGGAGAAAAGACAGTCTCTTCAATAAGTGGTGCTGGGAAAACAGGACAACTACATATAAAATAATCAAATTAGAACATTCTTTAACACCATATACAAAAATAAACTCAAAATGAACTAACAACCTAAATGTAAGACTGAAAACCATAAAAATCCTAGAAGAAAACATGGGCAGAACACTTTGACATAAATCATAGCAATATTTTTTTGGATCTGTCTCTTAAAGCAAAGGGAAAAAAATAAACAAATGGGACTTAAAAAATATTTTTCACAGCAAAGGAAATCATCAACAGAATGAATAGATAACCTTCTGAATGGGACAAAATATTTGCAAATGATACGACCAATAAGGGGTTAACATCTAAAATATACAAACAGCTCATACAACTCAACAGCAGAAAAACAAACCCAATCAAAAATGGGCAGAAGACATGAATAGACATTTCTCCAAAGTAGATATACAGATGGCCAACAGGCACATAAAAAGATAGTCAACACTGTTAATCATCAGAGAAATGCAAATTAAAACCACAGTGAGTTATCACCTCACACTTGTCAGAGTGGCTATCATCAAAAAGAACACAAATAACAAATGTTGGTGAGGATGTGGAGAAAAGGAAACCCTTGTACATTGTTGGTGAAAATGTAAATTGGTGCAGCCAATGTGGAAAACAGTATGGAGGTTTCTCAAAAAACTAAAAATAGAACTACCACATGCTCCAGCAATTCCACTCCTGGGTATATATCTGAAAAAAAAAAAACACCCAAACCCTAATTTGAAAAGATATATGCACCCTAATGTTCATAGCAGCATTATTTACAATTGCCAAGAAATGGAAGCAACTTAATGGCCCATTAACAGATGACTAGATAAAGAAGGTGGCGGTGTACACACACACACACACACACACACACACACACACATATATACACACACACACAATGAAATACTATACAGACATAAAAATAATGAAAATTTGCCATTTTGCAACAACACAGACTTGGAGGTTATTGTGCTGAAATGCGTCAGATGGAGAAAGGCAAATACTATATGATATCACATATATGTAGACTCTAAAAAATAAAATAAACTAGAGACTACAATGAAAAAGAAACAGACTCTTAGATATAGTAAACAAACTAGTGGTTACCAATGAGAAAAGGGAAGCAGAGAAGGGCATAGGAGGGGTAGGGAATTAAGAGGTAGAAACCACTATGTATAAAATAAACTACAAAGATATATTGTACAACACGGGGAATATAGACAGTCTTTTGCCACTGTAAATGGAATATAACCTTTAAAAATTGTGAATCACCTTTTTGAATAGAGTATTATTAACTATAGTCACAATGCTGTACATTACATCCCCAGGACTTATTTTTTTATAACTGAAAGTTTGTACCATTTGTTCACTTACACCCATTTCTTCCATTCTCCATCCCCTCTGAAAACCAATCTGTTCCCTATGTCTGAGTTCACTTTTTTTTTTAAAGATTCCACATACAAGTGAGACTATATAGTATTTATCTTTCTCTATCTGACTTACTTCACCTAGCATAATGCCCTCAAGGTCCACCCATATTGCTGCAAATGATAGGATTTCCTTCTTTTTTTATGATGGAATAAAATTCAGTTGTGTGTGTGTATCGTATTTTCTTTATCCATTCATCTATTAATGAATACATAGGTTGTTTTCACGTCTTGGCTGTGGTAAATAATGTTGCAATGAACATGGGGTTCCGATATTTTTCAAATTACAATTGATTTCATTTCTTTCAGATAAATTCCCAGTAGAGGAATTGCTAGATCATATAGTATTCTATTTTCAGTTTTTAGATGAACCTGTATACTGTTTTCCATACTGGCTGCATCAATTTACATTCCCATAAACTCATATTTTCTTGAATAATCTAAAAAGAGCAGGTATATTTCTTGTAAATTTAGTAAAAGAAAGACTGAATGGAGTAAACCAAACCCATAATTGACCAACTTTTACTTTTTTTCTCTATTTTCTTATCCTATTTTAGTGTGTGGTTCTTTCACATTACCAAGGATATCCCTATTCCAATGCCATGCAATCTTGTTCTGGATCACATTTGAGATTTAAGAATTTCCAATTTGTATTTCAAAACACAAAATTCTTACTTCTAAACCTGATAAACAACAATAATAGAGTGATCCATGTGATTCATATACTTATGTTCTGAATCAAAATAAATTTTCTGTTGGGGGGGCGGGGAACACTTGAAAATTACCACAAAAAAAAAGTTAACAAGTTATTCATGCATACCAGGAACACTGGTTAACAGGCTTTTCCAACTACAAAGTGAAGAATCTGCTCAGACCTCCCTAGGGGTGGGAGGAGCGGCTGGATGTGGCCCTGGAACGCACACTGGCCCTGGCAGTAGGGCCATCCCTGGCTGCAGCTCTGGCTCGGGCTCTCTCTTCCTCACCTCTCAAAGCCTCTTCATAATGGGTTGGGAAGGCAGTGGGGACCGTATCATTGACCTTGGCCCAAAACTCCAGGACTTTCATCTTGCTGGTTTCAGCGCGGGCTTTTGGGCCCCACAGGAACTCATAGCGAGGAGGATTACTGTTGCGCATCTGACGATACACTAGGTACTTTTCCTTCACCAAATCTTCTGTGATAAGCTTCCTGGGCTCCCCAAAGATGAAGTGCCTCCTTCCATCATAGACATACAGAATATTCAGGAATTCCCAGGTCTCCTCCTCAGAGGCGCAGTTGCCATTCAAGAAGATCACACCCAGGAGAGGCATCAGAAGCCCATTCTTAGGAAGTCCCCAGCCACTGCTCAGACTCCTATTTATGGGGATTTCTAATTTGTTAACAAGTCTATAGGAGTGACCACTGAGCTTGACTTCCTTCAGCTCAAGGCCAAAGACCAGTTCCATGTGCTCAGTGGCTCTCCCAAGGATCTCAGGGAAATTCTCCCTGTGCATTTTGTAGACAACCTTCGGCATGTGTGCCTTCATAATGGACTCTTTCATTTTATATCTCTGCAGCAGGAATTGTATCAACATCCCTGCCTTTCTGGTTATAGGATCTTTCAATAAGCTCTCAGTGGAGATTGAGGCTTCATAGGAACTTGCACTTTCTCACCTTGGCTCTTAACATCTTTTTTTCAGACCTTGTGCATGAAATAGCTGAGAAATAATGATGGTGGATGGGGATATGTGAGGCTCCTAGGAGTTTCACCAACAGGGGAATCCAAGGGAGCATCCCCAAAACAGGAGAGGAAGAGAAGGGGGACTCTTCCTGCTGCAGTGGTCTAAGTACCCTTGAGATCTTACATCTCATCCTGGACCAAGTGGCATTTATCATGAGCACTGAGCTTACTCTTGTGACCCCCAAGGAATGATGACTGTGATCAGGAACAGTAGGCAGGAGTGTGGATGATACTGGCACTTGAACATGGGAGAATGAGATGGTATGAGGATTTTTAGCAGGGTGATTCAACATAGGCTTTAACCAAGTCCATCTCTGCAGGTTTCCTTGAGGGCACTGCTCTAGGAAACCACAAGGCTGTTGTTCTCCTGGTCCACCTGTCTCTGAGAACCCAGTGGAGACACAGTGAGCCTTAGGCTGCAGCCTGTCTGCCCTGTCTTTTACTGACTAGGGTAACAGTATGACTGGTAGTGGGGCCACACGTGTTTTTCAGTGTAGGGAGTCCTCTCTGTTTAGCTTCAGGATTATCATGACAACTCTTGGCAAGGCCTGGAAACTCTTCTGTCCTCTTCTCTAAAATTGACACCCCAAATCTCCCCGGTACTGTCAAGAACGAAATATGGGGAGCGCCTCACCCCACCACTCTTATCAGGGGGCACCCAGCACTTACAGCCCTATGGGTACCTCTCTGTCCTAAGCCATCATTCAGTGTCCTCATTTGGATATTACACAGGGTCATGGACTTTTCCTTCCCCTGATTGGTGGCTAGACCTTCAGATCAAGGGTCTCACCTCCTTCTAGACCTCATATAAAAAGTAATGGGGATCCAGGAAAGAAATAATTGATAAGCTAGATTTCATTCTCTCGAAACTTTTTGCTCTGAAAAATATACCGTCAAGAGAACAAGACAAGCTACATTCTGGGAGAAAATCTTTGCAAAAGACATATCTGATGAGGCTGTTATACAAAATATACAATGAACTCTTAAATTTCAACAAGAAGAAAATCAACAACCCAGTAAAAAAAAATAGACAAAAGATATGAATAGATACCTCAGCAAGGAAAATACACAGATAGCAAATTAGCATATGGAACGATGCTCAGCATCATGTATCATTAGGCAATTGCAAATTAAAATAACAATGAGATACCACTACATGCCTTTTAGAATGGCCAAAGTCCAAAGGACTGACAACACCAAATACTGGTGAGCATGTGGATCAGCAAGAACTCCCATTTGTTGCTGGTGGCAATGCAAAATGGAATAGCCACTTTGGAAGACAGTTTGGAAGCTTCTTAGTGAATTAAACACATTCTACAATGCTGGTGGGAATGTCAATTGGTCCAGCCCCTATGGAAAACAGTATGGAGTTTCCTCAAACAAATCAAAAATAAAATATGATATTTTTGGCAATCCCACTACTAGATATCTATCCGAAGGAATTGAAATCAGGGCCTCAAAGAGAAATCTGCACTTCCATATTCATTGCAGCATTATTCACAATAGCCGAGACATGGAAGCAGCCTAAATGTCTAATGACAAATGAATGGCTAAATAAAGTGTAAAATTTACATACAATGGAATATCATTCAGCCTTAAAAAGAAGCTAAACTCACCAGTTGGGACAGCATGGATAAGTTTGAAGGACATTATGCTAAAGTGAAATAAGACAGATGCAGAAGGATAAATACTGCATGATAGTTATATGACAAATCTAATATAGTCAAAGTCAAAGAAGCAGAGAGTAGAGTGGTGGTTTCCAGGGGCTATGAGAAGGGGGATAATGAGCAGGTATTAGTCAAAATTTACAAAGTTTCAGTCATGTAAGATAAATAAGTCCTAGGGATCTACTATCCAGTATAGAGCTTACAGTCAACATTATTGTACTATACACAAACATTTTTCTAATAGGTTAAATCTTATGGTAAGTGTACTTAATCACAAAAATTAAAAACGGTAGGAGGAAACTTTTGGAGGTAACGGATATGTTTATGGCATAAATTGTGATGATAGTCTCACAGGTACATATCTCCTGTATATATCAATTTGTATACATTAAATATGCATAGTTTTTTGTATGTTAATCATTCCTCAAAGAATTGTTTGTTTGTTTTAAAACTGACTAAACAAACTTTCACCTTACAATCTAGTAATCATGCTCCTTGGTATTTACCCAAATGAGTTGGAAACTTATGTCCACACAAAAACCTGCACATAGATGTTTATAGCAGTTATTCATAATTGCCAAAACTCAAGAGCAAAAAGGTGTCCTTCAGCAGGTAAATGGATAAATTGTGGTATATTCTGACAACTGAGGATTATTCAGTGCTAAAAATAAATGATTTAGCAAGCCATGAAAAGAGATGGAGGAACCTTAGATATGCATTACTAAGTAAAAGAAACTAATCTGAAAAGGCTACATGATCCCAACTATATGACATTCTGGAAAAGGCAAAACTATAGAAAAATTAAAAAGATGAATGGTTGCCAGGGGGGAGGGAGGGATGAACAGGCAGAGCACAGAGAATTTTTAGGGACGTGAAATTACTCTGTATGATACTATAATGGTGGCTACAAGTCGTCATACATTTATCAAAATCCACAGAGTGTACAACACCAAGAATGAAGCCTAATGTAACTATGGACTTTGTGTGCTAATGATGCGTCAATGCAGCCTCTTAGACTGTAGCAAATATCCCACTGCGGTGGGGGATGTTGATAGTGGGAGAGGCTGTAAGAGGGTATATGGAACTTTTTGTACTTTCTGCTTCATTTTGCTGTGAACCTAAACCTGCTTTTTAAAATAAAAATTTTAAAAAATGATGTAGATAAACAACAAGCTTATAAGTTTATACTGAATAGCACAGAGAACCATATTCAATATCTTGTAGTAACCTACGGTGAAGAAGAATATGAGAATGAATGTGCGTATGTTCCTATATGACTGAGGTATTGTGCTGTACACCAGAAACTGACACAACATTATAAACTGACTGTAATTCAATACAAATATATTAAAAAAAAACAAATTGATGGGGGCCCGGTAGCTCAGCCTCACATCCTACCCTGGGGAGTTAAGTCTTGAGTGCAGGAGCAGGGCCAGACTCTTTGTTCCCCAGGCTATTCAGGAGTGGGTGGGCACCTGGGTCCTCACTCATTTTCCTTGATTGGACTCCTGGCAGGGCCTGAGGCTCTTCACTTTTGATCTGAGGACATTTCCTCCGGGAAAGGCTTTTACTTCCCTGAGATCTAATAGAAGGAGGTGAGGGTGGCCTTATTTGGCCACACCTGCCATGGCCTCCTTCCCATGAGTGACAGCTGTATGAAGCAGGCTGAGACTGCATGATGGTGAGCCCACTCAGGGTTCTAACTCAGCACCCTAAATCTGACCCATGTGAAGGCCTCAATCTGTTGACCTGGGACCTCCCCCTCAAACCATGTTCCTCATTGTTCTGTTATCCCTGAAGAGGATATGAGGCCATCTCTGCCTAACATTTACACCAAGATCTGTCATGACAACAGGGAGGATTCTGTGAGGTCTCCACAATTTGGGTTTGGTGGTCCTAGAACTCTTCGGGGTGCTCACCTTCCTCCTGGCAATCCTGGGAAATCCTATCTCTACTGACCTGAGTTGGCCAGCCTCAGACCAAGGTCTTCACATTCTTGACCTCTTAAGTGGAAATCAGGTTCAGCCACATCCTGCTGAGGCTATCTGGGGACTCTGAGGGCTGACAGCAGGGTCAAGAGTCTATGGGCCACACTGTTCTGGGAGGGCAGTGCTTCCTTCATTCCTCATCCAGGGTTCTCTCCGTCATATGTGGCAGAGACTGGGACTCCTCCCTCTGCTGACCTGAAGTCATCTTCTTAAGTCCCTGAGACCCCTCAAGAATAAGTGAGGGCTTGCTCAGGCTGACAACTTGGCCCAGCATTTTGCTCTCCCCAGTCTTCCTACAAGGGGCCCTTCATCATGGCTTCTGTTTTTTGATGAAAGGCCTCCTCTGAAATGCCATATCCCTGCAAACTCCTGACCACATTCCCTACGGCAAACCCTGGGCCCCTGCCCCAGAAGTGATGTGAGATAGGGACACTTCAACACAAGGCAGAGACTCCAGGATGGATGTGCTGTCAAAGAAAAACAAAGTACACTGATCTATCCCTTTTATTTACCAGCCAGCCAGCCTTCAATATAACTTCTCTTTGAATAGATTCAACTTCCAAATGCAAGGGGCTGTCCAGCTTGATTTTGCAAGCCCCTGATCTTTTGAGGTTATCTGAGTTTGGATATGTAGATTATCATATTGTCACTGAATATTATCTTTCTCTCCTTTATTCATACTTCTTAATTATTTTGATATGCTTATTGCTATGGTTACGGATTCCAGTCCAGTGTTTTGGGCACATGGCCCTTCTTTTTATCACCTGAGATATTTTAGAGTAGTGAGAAGGAAGGTGATTTAAGGAATTAAGTTGGCCTCAGGCTGGGAGGAGTGTAGAAGCGTGAGCTTCAGACTTATTCAGGCCAGGGGTCTAGTTCCAACTCTGTCACTTAACAGCTGTGTGAAATTGGGTACATTCCCAAACTCTATGAGCCTCAGTCTTTTCATTTGTGAAATGGGTTTGATAAGCTCTGTCTTGGGGACTGATGGAATGTACAGAGTGCCTGTAAAGTACCCAGCCCATTGCCTGGCATACACTGAGACTTAAAAGGATGCCTATTCTATGATTAATTTTTCCCCTGGAGTTTCAACCCACTACACTGAGATTTAATTTTAAATCCAAGAAGATGCCAGAGAATTAAGCAGGGTTCTAGGACAAAGGAACCCCTCCCAGGAAAAATACTGCTTAGCAAGAAAAACTATTTCCTCATTAAACTATGTCAATCCATGTTGACATAAGGTAGACTTCCTCAGCAAATGCGACACAAAGCTCTAAAACATGTTTCAAGGACCAAAAACGTACCTCCCTCTCAGTTGCGTTTCCCTGTAAACTCTCCTAATTTGATTCATTTAACCACCCACAAAAATCTAGACCTTGCCTAGAGCTTGCCAAATTATATACAAGATAACCTAATTTGAATGATTTTTTTTTAATGGAGTGGGCTTTGGCTCCCCCACCAGGACAACAAGTGCCAGTCCAGGAGCTTCTGGGCATCCCACCTCAACAGAGTACCACCCTTACTTCTCAAACACTCCCTGGAGATGATGTGAAAAAAACATCTAACATGCACAATGTTCACCTGCACTGGGACATGAGCACAGGACACATTCCATTCCTACCTCGGGTGATTTCTCTCTGATTTACCCACATCCCTAAAGTACAGGCCTACCTTGAAGATATTGCAGGTTTGGTTCCAGACCACTGTAATAAAATAAGTGTCACAATAAAGTGAGTCACAAGAATTTTTTGGTTTCCCAGTGCTATTATAAATTATGTTTACACTCTACTGTAGTCTATTAAGCATGCAATAGCATTATGCCTAAAAACAATGTACATACCTTAACTTAAAAAGGCTTTTGCAAAAAAAATGCTAATCATAATCTGAGCCTTCAGTGAATCATCACCTTTTTGCTGGTGGAGGGTTTGAAATATTGTGAAAATTACCAAAACGTGACACAGAGACATGAAGTGAGCAAATGCTGTTGGAAAAATGGCACTGAGAGACTTGTTCAAAGCAGAGTTGACAGAAACCTTGAAGTTGTTAAATAAAAAAAAGTAGTATCTGTGAACTGCAATAAAGCAAAGCGCAACAGAATCAGGTAGGCCTGTAACTGTCAAGGGCAGGTTCCCATTCTAGGCTTTGTCTTTCAACTATGGGGCCACCATCTGAGAAGCCAGCCCCGCTCATGATCATCACAGCCTCACCCAGCCCACCATGCAGCTAACTCGTAACTACCTCCCACTGAAGGACTCCGATTTTCCCAAAGCCCACCACTGCCTTGCATCAGGGACTTTACATTTGACTGCCAATGCTATCATCTGGAATCACCTCTCTCCTTTCTTATCCTGCCTTTTCATTTGTCCTTTTGATCTTAGAGTATGTATCACCATTTTCCTTACATGACAGCTGCTTCTTGTCTCTGTAGTTTTATGGTCAGTGGCTCGGTCTTTTCCTCAGCTTTCCCAGTACTAGCATGGAGCCTTCTAAGAGCAGATACTCAATTCATGTTTCGGAAATAAATCAGCCTGTGAGCGTGAGGTCTAATTTATTATGATTTAATTCCACATTTAGAATTAGCCAAGCACATACTTTTATTTATAATTTTTTAAAACACAAAATGAAAGGGATTAGGAAGCCAAATAGTGAGCATATTACTTTTTCTATATTTCTCGATGCCACATATTTTACTGCTACATTTTTTTCACATTTTCAAGGAAATGCACATTGCAATGTCATGTTATCTTGCACCAGATTACTAAGTAAGATGGAAGTTATCTCAATTTCTTTTACAAAACAGCAAAATTCTTACTCTGAGGCCTGAAAAACAACAGTATGTGTGATGGATATAACTCAGAAACTTGGATGATGATGCTAGCTAAATCTTCATCTAGGAGTAACATTTGACAAAGAGCAAAAAAACAAAACAAAACAAAACAAAACACAAATCTCTCCCAATTCCCCATACAGAAGAGGAAGACAAAGGGATTATACACTGTGTTCCCTCAGTCACACACAGCCCTCCACTACTTGGAACATTAACTGCTCTCTTCAACTACAAAGTGCAGAATCTGCCTCAACTTCACTAGGGGTGGGAGTTGCTGCTGGACATAACACTGGAACTTCCACTGGCCACGGCACTGGTGTCAGCCTTTAGTGTAACTGTGGCTTGGACTCTCTCCTCTTCATCTTTCAAAGCCTCTTCATACCAAGACTGGAAGGCACTGGGGATGGTATGATTAATCTTGGCCAGAAACTCCAGGACTCTCATCTTGCTGGTTTCGGCATGGGCTCTTGGACCCCACAGGAACTCATAGCGAGCTGGATCACTGTTGGGCACTTGCCGGTACTCCAGATACTTAAGCTTCACCAAATCTTCCGTGATGAGCTTCTTGGGCTCCCCGAATATGAAGTGTCTCTTCCCAGCGTAGACTCTCATCTTATTCAGGAACTTCCAGACCTCCTCCTCGGTGGCGCAGTTGCCCTTCATGAAGATCACGCCCAGGAGATTCAGCAGGAGGCCGCTCTTGGGAAACCCCTTGCCTGGGCTGACCGTCCCATTGTGAGGGAGGTCCATCTTGCTGACAAGGATGTAAGAATGCTTGGGAAGGTTGACTTTCTTTAAATCAACACCAAATACCACCTCCAGGCTGAAAGAGGCTCTTTTGAGGATCTCAAGGAATCGATTTTGGTACTTCTTACTGATGATCTTCAGCATATCTGCTTTCACAATGGGCTTTTTCACTTTATACCTGTGCAACAGGAACTGCACCAACATGCACGCTGCATTGCTTAGAGGGTCTCTCTGAGACCGCACAGCAGAAAGCAGGGCCTGAGAGGCACTTTGCTTTTTCTCAATTTTGCTGTTGGCTCCTTTGCATGATCTTGTGCGAGACACACCTGCAGACACAGTGGTGGTGGGCAGAGCTCTCTGAGGCCTCTTGGGAGCACCACGTGACCCAGCACCACGCTTTCTCTGAGTAGTAGCTCCAAAAGGAGGGGGTGAAGAGGAGAACGCTTCCCCCTTGGTTGCAGTGGCCTGAGCACCCCTCAAACCCTGGGTCTCACCACGGGCCTGGTGGCGTTTCTGACGGGCGCGGAGCGTATTTTTCTGACCCCGAGGCATGGTGATTGTGGTCAGACACAGCAGGTGATCTGGGCAGAGAGGAGAGAGGATGAGGAGTGTGAGCACCTGCAGCAGGGAGGTACCAACCACTCTGACTTTAAGAAGGCCGCTCTGCAGGTTTCTGCACAGGCACTCTAGGAACCCACAGGACTCCTGATCACCCTGTCCTCTGAGAACTCTGTGGAAATAATTAAAGTGAGCCTCAGGCTGTAGCCTGCCAGCTCTGCCCAGTGTTTGCTGAGGCTCAGGGTAGCAGTGGGCGAGTCCAGTTCTTGTGGAGCCTCCTCTGCTCTGGAGGACGGGGGCCCCCAGTTCACACTCAGGACCATCATATCAACTTCTGGCAGGGCCTGGGCCCCGTGTTCTGTGCTGCTCTAAACTTATACCTCAAATCTAGCTCCTCATCTTCTTGGGAGGCCTTCAGGAGAGGTGGAGGGGCATCTTAGCCCACCACCCCCGCCAGGGGGCACCCACAGCTGACAGCTCTATGGGACTCTGCCTGTATCCGTTGAGGTTCCCAGTGCTCATTTAAGGTCCCTTGGCTCTAGGTAGGGCCTGGGAAATCTGCCTCTGCTGATCTGATGCATCTCTTCTCAGACAAAGGCTCTCACCAATCTGATGCCATCAAAAAGAAAGGATGGTTCACATACACCTGACTTCCATGCCTGGGCTCCTCAGTGTTGCAAGCAAGGAGGGGAGGGACTCTCTATTGTCACCTCTTTAGTGGGGTGAAGGGTATCATCAATGTTCATTCAGGGTCCTCACCATAACTCCTATAAAGCCCTGGGTCTCCTCCCTCTGCAAAACTGTGGACAATTAATCCAACATCCTTTCCTCTCTGGGACCCTCCAGACAGTAATGAGGGGAGTGCCTCAGCTTAACAGACATTCTGGATTTCTGAGAAAAGGTGCAGAATTTATGAGACCCTATTTTTTCAGAGTCGGTATTCCCCTAGTCCTCATTCATGTCTCTGACCTTAACACTGGGTAGACAGTAGGACTTGTCCCTCCAATAACCTAGGGAGTCCAGCCTCAGAGCAAAGCACTCAATTCCCTGAGTTCCTAGAGGGGAAAGTCAGGGTCCTCTATATATGACTACCCCTAACTGGAGCCTCCTAGAAGTAAGTACAGGGACGCTGCTCTGTGACACCTCACCTAAATGGGGAGAAGTTCCCTTATTAATACTCAAGGCCTTCACCTTCACTGCAGTAAGGGCCTACATATCCACCATTTGTAGGACAGGAGTTACTCCCTAGATCAAGGCCCTCCCTTCCCTAACACATTCCAGGCCGAACTCAGTCTGATGGCTCTACTGGGGCTTCCTAGAGCTTACAGCAGCAGTGAGACTTTGTGTGGCCCCCTCAGTTTCCACCAAATTCTTCACCTTGACTCCAGACCAGTCCTGGGAATCCACCCGCCGCTGGCCAGAGGCCTCGCCTCACACAGTTCTCACTTCCTGGAAACTCGAACCGGAAGTCATGATGACTCATATCCGGCCACGAGTACACAGGGTCTCTAAGAGTTGACAGCAGGGGCAGGGCTCTATGGGACGGGACCCCAGTGTTCTGGAATCGGTGGTCCCTAGGTCCTCATTCAAGATTCCTGTCTATCAGAGCCTGGGACTCCTTCCTTTCCTGAACTATGTCCACAAGCCTCCAAACAAAGATTCAGCTCCTTGAGCTCCTAGTGGGTAAATCAGGGCCTGTTATTTGTGACGACCTCTGCCCAGAGCCTCCAGGAACTGAGGGTGCTGCTTTCGGTTGCCATCTCTACCAGGGGGAGAACCCCTCATTAGCATTCAGGACCCTCCCCTTGACTTTAGTTAGGGCCTAGGTTTCCTTCATTTGCAGAAACGAGGCTACTCTCTTAGACCAAAGCCTTCTGCCCTGAGACTCTCCAGGCAAAACTTAGCCTAAAAGCTTTGCTGGAAATCTCCACAGCTGATCACAGAGAAGGGACTTTGTGGGGCCCCCTGGGTTATGGGAGTGGGTAATGGACTCTCTGGTCCACATGCAGGCCCTCACCTTGCCTTCAGACCAGCCTTCGAAATCCACCTTCCACGGAACAAACCTTGTGCACAACTGTCTAACCCCCTAGCCCCGCAAGTCACTAGCGAGCCACTTCCGGCCACGGCTGTGCGGCGCACGGTCTCTGAGGGCTGACTGCAGGGGCGGGGCTCTGTGGACTCTGTGGGCGGTCCCTCAGGCTCCTCCCTCAGGATCCTCCGTGCGCCACCTATCAGAGCCAGGAAGCTCTCCCTCCACAGACCCGAGTCCTCCAGCTCACAAAGCCCTCGCCTCCTGACTCCCTAGTGGGGAAGTCAGGGCACCCTGCTTGTGACCCTCTCTCCCTGAGGAGATGGTTGCTTCCCTCTGAGCCTCCCTCTTTGGGGGAGAGCTCCTCTCACTAGCACTGAGGTCCCCACCTTGACTCTGGTTATGGCCAAGACTCCTCCCTCTTCAGAACTGGGGCCCATCCTGTTAGACAAAACCTTCCCTTACTGAGACCTGACAGGCAGAAATGAGGCTTCTCAGCCTTATATGTCAGCCTGAAGCCTCTCGTGGTTAAGAATGGTAGGCAGGGATCTGTAAAGCCCACTCATTAGTGTGTCTTATTCCCTTTCCTCAGTCCAGGACCTCACCTTGCTCCTGGCCAGTCCTGAGACTGGACACTCCCTGACAAGAAGTTATTCTGCTCAAGTCAAGGTCTACTTGTTCCTGAGACTTCCGAGGTAGAAGTTACAGTGAGCCATATTAGGCCAGGGATGTTTGGGTCCTGAGAACTGACAGAGTGGAGTCTCTACCAATCAGATGACTGTTCTGGAATCAGTGGTCCCTACATTCCTCACTTGGGGTCCTCCACTTGGCATATATCTAACTTGAGATTCTCCCTCTACTGAACTGAGACCATTCTTCCTTAGACCAAGACTTTGAATTTGCTGAGAACTGTAAGGAATATAAGAGGGGATGCCCAATCTGACTTCCCTGCTTGGGCATTGTAGGCCTCCAAGCAAGCTTGGGCAGGTCTCTGAATGACCTTATATTTTGGAGTGGTTGTCTCTTCCAGTCCTCATTCATAGGGGTCCTCATTTTGTCTATTTCTTGGATTAAAAGGTTCCTGGGGACTGTCACACCCCTGCAAACTCTTGAGCAGTGTCCCTAATGCAAACCTTACAGTTTCCTGTCCCATACTCAATGTGAAATGGGGAACCTACAACATGATGCAAGGGGTCCAGGATAGGGGTGGACTCCCAGAGAAAAATAACACTGATCTGTCCTTTTCAATAGCCAGAGTTACCCTCTTATGTGACTTGTTTTGATTTACAGGCAGACCTTGTTTTATTGTATTTCACTTCATCATACTTGACACATAGTATGTTTTATTACAAATTGAACATTTGTGGCAACCCTGCATTGAATGTGTATGTGGGTACATTTCCCCAACACCGTTTGCTCACTTCAGGTCCCCGTGCCACATTTTGTTAATTCTTGAAATATTTCAAAATTTTTCATTATTGTATTTGTTATGGTGTCATCAGTTAACTGTGATCAGTTATCTTTGTTACTATTGTAATTGTTCTATATTTTTAAATTAAGATGAATACATTGTTTATTTAAGGTATTGTTTAGTAAATGTACAATAGGATTAACAACTTTTATAAGCATTGGCAAACAAAAAAATTTGTGTAACGTACTTTATTGCAATATTTGCTTTATAAAAGTGGTCGGGAACCTAACCCACTGTATCCGAAGTATGCCTGCACTTCTAAAGGAAAGGAGCTGTCCAGGATGGTTTTGTGATTCCCTGATTGAGGTCATTTGACACAGTATATAGAACTGATCATACTATCACTGAATATTATTATTTCTCCTTATTCATAACTTTCATTTACTGAGGTATTGTTCAATGCTTAGGATATACTGCAACCCAGTTCTTTGGGCACAGAGTCATTATTTTTAACCTAAGACACATTTGAATATTACAGAACAAGAGCTCTGCTTTAGGTAAAGAGGAGTAGAACAGTATGGGATCTAGAGAAATTCAGACCAGGAGTATAGTTCCAGGCCTGTGATTTGCTAGCATTATTGAGCAAGGGCTCACTGCCTGCCACACATAGAAGCCAATACAATGGCACTGACTTTAGAGATAGGAACTTTATGGCAAGGTAGATTGGCAAGGAGGCAGGGCTCTCACATCTGTCTCCTCAAATCCAGGGTTCAGGGTAAAATTTAAGGGTTTTAGGGGAATTTCAAACTTGAAGGCTAATTGGCCAGTCTTGAATTAGTTCACATAAGATATTCATGCCACTGGAAGCCAGACTTTACTAAGTGAAGGATTTCACTTAATAAGGATCTCCCATGGCAACATTTCTATTCTTTGAGTTCCACAGACGGAAGATTCTTAGTTCTGGGGTCATCCTGGAAACATGGGTTCCTGCTCGCATGTGTACAGTATTGTCTCTAAAAATAACTCATGGTTTGATTAATCAACAACCTATTTTAAGGAGGCAAAACCAAAACCAGTTTAAGCTGCTCAGTGTTTTACATGCCTTTTCAATCCCCCCGCCTTTTTTGGTACATTCCTCCATCTTGAGGGAAATAGGGAGATGACTGCTCTAGCTGCTTCATGCTGATTAGAGGGAGTGATTTTTTAAAAGAGGAATAAAATTGTTTGTATTTAATCGTAAACACTGAGTCCAACCTTGAACTCTTAAGTCTTGGGCTATCATCATGCGAGTGGGGTAGGCCTTTTAAATATAAAGAGACAAACAATATGGACAAAATTTGTTGGAGTAAAAGGATTAACACTAAAATACACACAACTAGGACTCAATTTTAACAGTCCTTCAAAAACAGACCTCATTCCTTTGGCAATCCATATAAGCATATTATAGTATCTAATTCTTTCACAGTATGATATTTTAAGACTGCAGTTAGCACTCAGTCTTAAGGAAGGGCCTCATGTAACATTTCATAAGGGCCCAACTGGAGCTTGATTCTA